CTTATAGCTTCATTAGCTTGCTTCTTCCAGAGCTGCAGATCTGATCTGATCTGAGCATGCGCGACCACACCCAAATTTTGGAGCACATGCTTCTTTAATTAATAAAATGGCGGCATGCAGTTAAGATGGGCCCGATCCAGCAGTGACAGTGCAACTTCTTCCTTTGTTGGAGAATTGTCATAAAGAATAGGGACCTGCGCATGCATTATTGGAGTAGAATGGTGTAAGAATTAGCCTTCTATCACCGAGCAAAGTTGAGATACAGACCGACAACTGGATTGACAGGACTTGATGATGATGATGATGATGAAGATGAAAAAAGGTGGCTGAACAAAACGGCCGTTTTCCGGATTTTTGGCTTTCCTCTCAGACAAGGTTTAGAGCCACACTAGTGGTACCAATGGAGTCCTCTGGTCAAGATGAGGTCCTCTATAAAGTCTGGTAAGCATAGGAGCTCGTTTTCCCGGTATAGCAAGGCTGCAAAAGTCGTGGCAGCCATTTTGAAGTGGGGTGAATCCTACTTAGTAACGCTACCGCGTTACTAATAGCACATGGTCTCGAGCCAAATTTTTGAGCAACCTTAAAAATTCATAAAAAATTAGAATTTGATCAGAAATAGCTCTAAATTTCTACACAATATAATAAAATTCATATATATCAGAAAACGTAATAAGAATTCTCCCCTAGCCATTTTTTCATTAAATACAATGGACATATTTTACACATAAATATTTTACACGTAATTTCTTCTCCCGTCCTTCTCTGAATTAGTAAACTTACATTTCTTAAATCTCCACCATTACAAAACTCCATCCATACATGCATCATGTCCTCAGGAGGATGATAGGGAATATCCTAATAATAATAATAATAATAATAATAATAATAATAATGAATATTGAATAACAGAATCCATATATGTACATATATACTATTATACACACACATAATATTAATTAATAAAATTTCCCACACATGCAGTGTATGATCCAAAGCTTAGGAATAATCCTAAATATCACTGGGTCTGTATTAAAGACAAAATTCAGTGCAAATTCAAATTTAGGGATTTACAAAACATAGTTGTATAATAGTGAGTGGGCGTATCAAAGGCACCGCCTATGCTACAAATGTGATGTATCCCTGTGGTTTTATTTGTATCCCTGCGGTTTTGACAGAAATTTTTTTATAAAATAAAATATACAAAGCAACATATTGGACAGCTAAATAAGCTGGAATTCAATTCAACTGTCAATGAAGTATGGGCATTGGCCAGGGAGCTCGGAGCGGGGACTGACAGGTACAAAGCCGGGGAATAGGGAGGCTCCAGAGTCCAGATGACTTTAGATCGAGGCACAGACCAATAATCCATGCAGGTAGAGTTCACTGCTCTCCTTCCGCGTTCAAATCAATGGTTGTCTTAACCTCAATGGCTAAATAAGATAGCTGGGGAGGTAAAATCATCGATACACGGGCCTGTTAGCAAGCGCGGGATCTCTGTTCCTGACCTAGATTATACTCTTCCAGATATTATAGCCTGAAAATAGATTAGATATGTCAACCTAAAGCCTAAATCTGTTAATAAAGTATCTTTTTCTGAGCCTCCTGTCCTTCATTGCTTTCATTTTACCACGAGGTGTAGTGCTACTAAGCATGCGCATTGCCGCGCCTTTGATACGCTCACTCATTATCACACAAATATGTTGATAACACCCCCGCTGCAGGATACATCGAATTTGTATGACCTCGCCCTCGGGCTCGGTCATACAAATGCGATGTATCCCTAGCGGGGGTGTTATAACGTTTACTACATGTGCACGTACAAGTGTATGTACATGTACCCGTTTCAAACTTTAGCTAAGGTTTTAATGTACCTACTAATTAACACACACACGTGTAATGTTTTCTTATACAAAAATTAGTACATGGACAGTATGAGTACATGAGTATAAGATACCGGCTCACTGGAGGTGGGCCAAGAGCTTTAATAAGGTTAGGATGATCGTGTTCCCCCATTATCTTGATCTCGTTCCTCAATCTAACAATTATCTCATCCCTCTCGTGAGAATCTAGATAACGTAATGGCTCCAATTTCATTTCTTTCAACGCAATCTGATCCCCATCATTCTGTATGTATATTATATACATAATAAAGCATACATGTACATGGATTATATAAACACAGGGTCAGACTAATGCTTTAATTCTTACACTAGTAAAAAGTGAAACATCACCAAAAGAGCCTCGGCCAATAGGAGCACGCTTCCAACTCTTTCTAATACTCATAACTATAGCTAAAAGAACGAGAAAAGAAACAAAAACTCAAGAAGTTGTTGCACTGCTATTACAAGCCCCACCCATGTTGCTTGTATACTCTTCCGTATTCTTTTGTAAATTTGTTTTTAACCATGTGTAATCTTGATAACCGCTCGGTGCCTCCATATTTAGGGAAATTTCCCTAGATCTAGGGACAAAAATGGTCAATTTAGGAGGGAGGGAATTTTTAAAATGCTGGAATCTAGGAAAATTTTGACTAACTTAGCTCTATAATTAAATTCATGAGTCC